AAAAAAAAAAGATGCTGGACTTGAAAGTAGGAGCCCTGGTTTAAGTCCTGTGACCTTAGGGTAATCTTAGTTTCTTCATTTGTAACGCAGAAATAATCCTGTAAAACTGTTGTGAAATATATGGTACACTGCAGACATTTATTACTTGCTTTTTATTTATTCTTGCATTTATTTCTTGCTTTCCCAAGTGATCCCTGTGTTTGCGCTTGGTGTAAGCCTGATGTGCACATGTTACTGAACATCTTACAGGCAGCTGAACTTGAGTTTGCATGAGAAGGTTTCGTGGCACGTTCAGCTGGGCAACAGTGGCATTTCACTACATGTTGGGAGAATCTGAATGTTCGTCATGCTTCCAGCTCTGGTTTAAAAAGAGAATTAGATATGATGGATTTTCAGATATTTTCTTCTCTTTCTCTTTTTGTCCCAACTAAAAAAAAAGGTGGGGGGGGGACACTGTTATTTGAGTGTCCTTCAAGTCTGCTTTGTGGTCATCAGAAATCTGGGAGGTGCTGCTTGGATATGAAACGAGTGAAGCAGACACTTTATTTTAGAGCAAAATTAAAATGTGATATCGCTGGAGAGCTCTCCTTGACCTTTCAGTTTTGACTTTCCCATCCTCACCCATGAAGAGAATTGGCAATTTTTAGCTTCTGAGAGTGAGCTACATGGCAGACCTAGCAAATATGCCGTTGCCTGGGAGATTGTTGCCACAGTGGTCACTGTGGCGTTAGAGCAACTCTCTTGCCATCCTTCACTGTGTGAGAGCTTTCTGGATGTGGTCGTGGGTTTAGGCAGCCGTGGGCCTGGTGGCTCCTGCACCATCTGGAACGAGCTCCTCCCATGTCTCTGAACTCTTTCCTGTCTTACCCTTGGGTGCTGTGACTGTGCTCTTCTCAGCAAGCTGTGCTTCTGGTCAGAGCCTGTACGGCAAAATCTGAGCATGTGTTTGGAAGCATTTAGAAAGCCTCTGTTACAGTGTTTTTTATATAATGATATTGGATAAAAGGTGACTCACTAAAAATACTGGTACCATTGGACAGTATTTCTTTTAGATTCCAGAATGTTATTTTAATTACCCCAAAATAACCAGAATGTTATTTTAATTAACCAAAAGATTTGAGACAACTTCTAGAGAAATGTATGGAAAAGAATGATGAAAGTAGTAAAAAATGTCAAACTAAGATTTAAAAAGAAAAAGTGGAAATTATATATGTTTATCATGAGGTCCTACACAGTTGCTCTCAAGTGTGAATTTCTTATGAGCTTCCTGGCAAACATTGTAAAAATGGAAATGGGGTTGTTTGGACAATTCCATTGCTAATGACAGAGTTCCTCAAAAGAAACAGTAAGAGAAATTTCCACACAGGGCTTTAGAACAATAATGAAGGATATTGTAGTCAATCCTCAACTATATCACTGTCAGGTTTTATACCACCTCTAAGAAAGCCAAGGCCATAATCCCAAAGTGAGCATGAATTCATTTGGAGAGCCAGGACATGTAACTTCTGTAACAGAGCTGTGCTGTCAGAGCCACTAGCCTTCTGTGGCTCTTCAGATTTTAATTAATTGAGATGGAATGAAATGAAAGCTCTGGCTTCTTGGTCACATCAGCCACATTATAGGTGTTTTAATAGCCACACATGCCTGGTGGACTGGGTGCTGCTGGTGGAGAGCATCTCTGCCAGCACAGAAGGTTACCTGGTGGCGCTTCTCTGGAGCAGAGTCTCCCTGAGTGCAGGACAGCAGGGTGATTGTATGTGGGATGAGCCAGGTTCCAGAAGGACCAAGACTGGGCATTTGCCAGACCCTGCAGGAGGACGGCCCTTCCTGTGTCCACTCTTCTTGGCTCCAGTTACGTGGAAGAGAAAGTCTCTGTGTGTTGCTGGCCTGCCCTTCCTTCCTACCAGGAAGGCTTGGGGTCAGTGCCTCTGGTAGGCAACAGGCTTGAGTTTAACTAGGTTGTTTTGTTTTCATTGTACTGTCTTCACATTTGCCCCTAGTTGTGGCCAGGATTCTATTTTTCCATTTACCATGGTGATGCTCAGTTCCCTTTTAAACTCTAAGTAAAAAGGAAATGAGTCATTTTAAAGAAAGATAATAAATAAACAATAGTGAAAACAGTAAAAAGTTTAGCATGGTGCTGTGTGAATGAGGAGTATTTGGGGAATGGTGACGTAAGAAATAAATAGGCTGTGATTTAAAAAACACTAATGATAAACACCAACCGCCTCTCACCGGATTGTGTGTGTGTGTGTGTGTTTTACAATAGTTTTATTCAGTCCTCACAGCAATCCTGGGAGGGAAGAAACTCTTATCACCCACATTTTGTAGATGAGGAAACAAAGGCACAGAGAAGCAGTCATTCAGGAACATGTTTTTGTAGCCCCCTAACCGATCTCTTACAAGGCTCTGGACAGACTCCCTGGCACTGAGTGAGGGTAAAATCAAGGTCTTTATCCATCCTAGAAGCAGCTGGGACACTTGCTGTCATTCTAAAGGAAAGGTCCCAGCCCAGCTAAGATCTCGCCCATGTGGACAGTTACCTGCACCCCCAGAGTGTGGGCTGAGGACACGCCTGCAGCCACGCCAGGAATCTCCCACAGGATCTCTCTGTGCCCATGGCAGTGCACAAACACCATCCACCATGCCCTCCAAGTCTGAGAGCCAGGCTGAGGTGGTTTTGCCTTGGAAAGTTGTCAAAGCAGGTTCTGGATCACAGGATTTCAAGGATGCTCCCTTGAGACATCTTTGAGCAATGTTAAGTTCCTGAGAACCTGGCTCAATGGACCACTGGGAAAATATACTGCTAAATGCCCAAGGAACCGAGATAATTACTTGCTGCCTGCAGTTACTGCGTCTTCTCCACATGTGCTGTGGAAGAGGTTTGGAATTATATTTGGCACAAAGGATCCTAGCAAGAAGTGCTATGTTTTCAGAGTATTAAATGAAAGTTATTAAAAAAGATTTAAACTCATGTGGTCCCAAGGGGGGCCTGATGTGTGTTCCTCCACCGAAAGTAAGAAATGGTAGCATTTGACCCCTCTCTCAGGACAAAAGTAATGATATTCAGAGATGTCGGTTGTAAATTTTCACCCAAAAAGTACTTCTTTCATTTTTGGCCCTGCTGATGCCTGGCTACCCACAGACTCCAGAGACAAAATGCTTAAGCGGCATCAAATAAAATGGAAAACAGAATTAAACTCAGTTTGCTCCCTGTCCTGCTGCCTTTTCCTCATTCTCTCTTTCCCTCGCTGTTAACACACAGTTGTGTTTTGGTTTGATTTTCCATCACTTCCATATGACAGTTAAATTTTTTGTTAATTAATTTCTACTTTATTTCTTTGCCAATGTTTGATCTTATTCCTCAGATGCCTTGACTTCCCAACAAGTTTGAGACTTTCTGTCTTAATATCCCACTGAAATGTTTCTGAAGATGTGTGTGACCTTAAAACAACCCTTATATTTTTTCTCCAGCATCTATTTCAGCCACTGAATTGGCGTGAGATAATACATCGATATGCTTATTCTCTGAGCTTTTAGATCTTTCCTTAGTGTAAGTACAGTTGGAATCACTCTTTTGTGTAGGATTAATT